GTAGTTCGTGCTGCAAGAGATGCCACCTCGACCGATCAGACGATCGCGCGAGAGAGATAGATCTTCTTTTCTTTTCGATGCCACGACGATCGATCGAGCGGATGACACGTCTGAACCAGGTAGAGGACCGCAGTGTAGCGCAGTAGAGTAGCATAGACTAGCGTCTCTCTCTCTCTCTCTCTCTCTCTCTCTCTCTCTCTGTGTGTGTGTGTGTGTGTGTGTGTGTGTGTGTGTGTGTGGGCCTTGCCATGATGATCGATTGGATGATCAAGAGAGACAGTATAGAAATCAAAGACGCAGAAGATAGAGGGAAACGAAACAAACACGGAGGGTTTACTCACGTTCCGTCATGGTAGCGCGGTCGTCTGAAAGTCTCCATGCAATGCACAACCCGAGCCTGAGCTTCCAGCCTTCACGATGACGATTCGGAGCCCAATCAGCGTCCAACCTCGACGATGCACAGCCCAACCTCCAGCACGTAAAAGAGCTTACCGACGACGAATCCTCATGAGCTTCAACCCAAAATGTAGTGCGCGTGTTCGGGTGCGCGGGTGTGTGAGTGCGAATGTGTGTTCTGGTCGGGTGCCTTTGTGTCCGTGTCCGTCTGCGTGTGCGTGTGTCCATCAGAGGACAAAGGAGAGCACCGTCCACCATAGCGTGTGTATGTGTGTGTGTGCGTGTTGTGTGTCTTGTCATGTTCGCTATACACATCTCCGCAAAAGAAGCATGACTGTGCCACACTGTTTCGTCGTACTTTCACTCACCCCTCCGGATGTTGACTGTGTGTAGCTGCTGTGTTTGTAGCAGCTGCTGTGTATCCACCACGGCAGAGTAGGGTAGCAGCAGTAAATGTAGCATGGGTAGAGTAGCTCGTAGTCGTGCGTGGCAGAGCCTTCAATAGAGTAGTGAAGTCGACTGTCTTGCCGAGCTTCGCCAAACGCGGAGTGTGGGAGGCGACGGGCTTGAGATTTCATCGTCGAACTGACCAGCGCCAGGTAATTCAGTAATTTCGAGTTTGATCTGGACTAGAGCTTTTTTCTGCGTTCAATAGTTTGTGGGCCTACCATCTGTGGCTTGTTGGTGGGCAGTCCTTTTGTTTGGACCATTTTCCGATTTATGCATGGCATCCATTTGCAGGGGGCATGCTAATCTTCTCTGAACCGTTAGGGATGTCCCGAAAAACGGCAGTCCCTTTCCAGCACAACCCTCCCTCCATTTTTTGAAAAGGTTGTACGGGTGCTCCCTCAGCTCCGCCCTAGGGGCCCAGTGCGCTCCCCCTAAGCTTGCCTATGTGCGGTACAGGTGCAGGGTACGGGCCTGAAAGTTGGCCCTGCACCGGTGCGCAGCCCGTAGTTTGTTTGTTGATGTGGTTGGGGATAGTTTGTTGATGTGGTTGGGGAAGGGTAAGGTAGTGATTATGCTGTGTGTATGTTTTGTCATGTTCGCTATACACAACTCGAAGAGTGTGTGTGTGGGGGGTCCCGGTTGGTGCTTTATTCACGATGTTCATGGGACACTGTACCCAGTTTCCAGCAGGTGGTGCTCCTGTGACGCCCAACCTCACGCCCAGCGCGACTTCCTGATCGGAGTGGAGTGTGGGCCTGGAAGTGCGAAAAGGGGTGTGCCAAGGATTTTTGGGGAAGTGGGGGAGTCTTAGGGGTATGAACGCAATTAGGCGAACGAGGGGTAAGGGTCTCACAGTCCGAAGGGGCCGGGACACTGCGGGCGACGGGTTACGGGAAAATTCCTTCGTGGTGGATATGGTCCTGAAAAGTTAGGCCGTCGGGGGCCGCCACGTAGCTGGGTTGGGCCTTCGGAATTCCAGGGTTCTTTGTGTGCCGCTGCGTCGGCAGTTTACGCAAAACGTGTTGGGCCAATAGGGGGCTATGGCCGGCCACAGAACGACAGTGAGTTGATGATACGGGAGAAGGAAGCGGAAAGGAGGGAAACTGGTGGTGATCTCAACGAACCCCGGGTGGGTGAAGTAGTAGGTGTGGTCGGGGGAAGGGGAATCGGAGCACCGAGGGTCGCTAGTGGTGGCACAGTGGAATTCCCGCGGACATAGCCGTTTCTCCGTGTGACAAGGGTATCGGGTCCTTATGAGCTCGTTTATTATAGGGGTGAAATAGTCCGGGTCATAGGACGAGCCTGAGCCCCAAGATCGCGTCATGGTATCATTGTCGATGGGGTAGCGCGGGTCGGGATATCGTCTCCTCGCACGAGCACGTGTAGGACAGGCCGACTCAGTGGCGCCTCAGCGTGCTCGTACGGGATGATGGTTCCGCCGTGATTCCTTTCGAAGTGAGCGAGTCGACGCATGGGAATGCGTGTAAGGGCGCGACTCGGATTGCGTTTACACGTGTTCTCGTGCGGCGCTCGCGGGGCCGGACTTCGAATCGCCTAATTGCTTCGTAAGTCTCGGTTATGCAAGATGCAATCATACCACAACCTCATCATAGGACAAGCGAAAACGAGAACGAAATCGACATCGGGGCCAGATTCTTATCCCATCTATCGCTGCATCTGGTGCAAGCAAAGATTCGGCACAAACAAAAAGCAAGGGCAGGGATTCTCCGCAAAAGAGATAGGCAAGCAGGCATGACATTTATGCATCCATACATTCGACAACCATACACATAATGCAATCGCAAGGGCAGGTGTGAGCAAAAAACCAAGTCCAGATTCCAGAAAGCTGAAACGAAGATAAGAACGGGCAAGCCACCCGGAGTCGCAATCAAAATGTATGTACACAGATGAAGAGGGAGAAGAGACAAAGAAACAACAAATCCACGTCCATCAACCTCAACTCTCTTCTCCTCTCTCTCTCTCTCCGATGCGAACAGTCCGTCGTCACGCACCAACCCACGAAGTTGTCACCCCACTTAGTCCTCCCGCACCCGTCGGATTCGCCCGTGCCCACAGTCCGTCGTGGCCCACGTCAATCCCGCGCGTTTGGCACCAGCCCGTCGGGTCGCCCAACTCCGACTCTACTCACCTCTTACTTCGCTCGTGTGTCGACCCTTCCTGATCGCGCAACCCCGAGCTTCCAACAAAGGGTTAAGAGAGCTGACTAATCGCGCAACCGAAATTTATAGCGTGCATGCATGCGTGAAGAACACGGAATTACTAGGACTTAGAGTGAGGATTAGAGAGGGAGCGCCTACGTTCTGCATGATCGGTCGCGGCGTGGGGGACGTAACCCTTCTCCACGCATCGGTCCGATCATGCAAACCGCGACTTTTAAAATTTCAGCAAAGGAAAGAGAGGGAGGGCGGGAAAGACGAAGTGCAAGAAGAAAGATACAGTTACAATGACGCCCGCCCAAAATTACAGTTACACACGCGATTAAGGGCGCCTACTAATCATAGTACTGTTGCAGCCGCAGGGAGAAGCGCGTAAACAAAAGGCGCCGCACGACAAGAAAAATCCTAATTACTAAATTCCCAAATTCCTATCTAATGCGAAAAAGCAAAAAGAAGCACGAATTCAGAAGGAAAGTCCGAAATTCCGAGAGCCATTGGGGGCTCGACAAAATTCAAAAGAAAATTCAAAAGGAACAAAGCAATTTCCCACGCGGTGTCCGCGCCCAAAAAGATCGAAAACCGAACCAAAAGAAAAGACGTCAAAATTTATTAATTGCGCGCGCGCGTGGCGTCGCGCCAGACAACCATCCGACCAATCAATCAACCGGCCGTCCCAAGACACACCTGACCCCGTGCCCGGCCATTCGAAAAAAGAAACGACCAAAAAGGACGAAAAAGCGAGGACACTGATGCAATTCTCCACCGATCCCGATCTCTCGTAATTGGCCCAACCTTCCCAGCTTAGGACCCCTCATTGCAACCGCGCAGAAAATCACGCGTTACAGAAAGTGGTTCGTCACATATGTGATGCCCAAGGGGTTCCAACATTAGCAAGCTCCTGCTTGCTTGTTGACACGTGTCGATTTTGCTAATTGCTCGACACGCGGAGCAATTCTCTGTATGCCCTTACCGTTTGATTGTGTGTGGACATCATCCAACTTGGCAACTTTGATGTTCTACTAGTTCCTCAGATTGGGCTGTTCGACGTTCCAAGGACGGGATCTTTCTCGTGCCGTCGCCGCGACACGCGTCCATAACCGCTGCATCAGTAATTAACCGGAAGGGGGAAGGGGAGGCGATACGCGTATGAGGGAGGGCGGGGCGGCTCCATCGTAAGCTCGGGTATGAAGCGCCCGATCGCAGTGAGGTCGTAGGGAAGTTCTTGAAAACGGACAATGCGATGGAAGCGGGGGAATCTCTAGCCGCTGCGGGGAAGGGAAGCGAGGTAGTCTGGGTAAAGGGATACGAGGGTTCGGAGGACGTCTATGCGGAACCGATCATGGTTCTCGCACGCGGGGAAGGTCCCCGTAACGATACAGTAAACCTCTATATGGTTACGACCTCGCCACGCAGTGCTAAGGAGCAGAACGTGGAGGGAGTAGTCGGGGACAGCACACTGAACGGAAGGGTGGGGGTGGACAGTCAGTTCTAGGCGGGCGGAGTAGAAATGTCGGAAGGTGGCGATGGGGAAGGGATTACGGGGGTAAACGACACGATGGAAATACTGATTGAAAGGGAGATAGTTAAGGGGATGGTGGTATATGGATCGGGGACGAAGGGCTAAGCCCCTCATTGACACGTTGACGAATTGGGGGACGGGCGGAGGCGAAGGGGGACGTGGATCGGGATCGGGATTGGCGCCTTGTCGTCGCGGCTCCCGAGGTCGTGGCAGCAAGGTCTCCATGTTCCGGCTTGGGCGGCTCGGGATCCTTGAAAGGATCGTTTGGTGCGGAATCGATCGCCAGCCGCTTTCCTTCCGCAATCTCTTTCTTGGGCTGCGCAGCAGCCTCCGGGTTCTCCTCTCGCCGATCCCGTCCTGGCACCCACTCGAGCTCGTCGTGCGTTGGCTCCTGGTCGTCCCCGCTTTCCACTTCTTCGTCGTCTTCGTCCTCCTCCTCACCTTGCTCGCCCTCGCTGTACTCGCTATAGGCCTCTTCCTCTTCCTCCGAAGTATCCTCCTCTGCTTCTTCTTCTTCTTCTTCTTCATCGTCCGCTGACTCTTCTTCTCCTTCGCGCTCTTCTTCCTCGTCCTTGGCCAATCGGCCCGCTGCTTGCCCGGTGTCTCTCCTCAAATCTCCTTCCGATTCCTCTTCGTCCTCCTCTTCTGCTCTCAGCGCCGCCCACTCGAACACCGTAGGTTGCCGAAAGAAGCGGGGATTAGTCAGGCTGTGGACGTCCAGGTACTCGCTACGGGAGGGAAAACGGCCGTCCGCCCAACGCTCCTCAATACAAGCCGACCACTGGAGGCTCGGGGCGAGAGTCCTTGAGAGGGTATGTGGCACGGGTTCTTCGTCGCTCTGAGAGACGATGTCGAGAGGGAGTTTGTCGGCCAATCGCACGATCTGTGATCAGTTTCCCCGATCCACTGCTCCAAAGACGAATCCCAGAAGATCTCCCGCCACGTTGGTCCGCCACGCCTGAATGACGAGCAACTCCACAATCTCTGATGCGGGCCTCTGATGGCCTTTTCCCACGTCCAGTTCAGATCCACTCGTAGCAGGCAAAACGAGAGCTCGACGAATTCTGCACGCCACAGCCTCCAACGGTCCGGATCAACGATGGGCACTATCAGCGGCTCCAGACGGAAGGAGAGACGAGGGTAGTGAGAGGACTGCCAGAAGATGGGGAAGAGAGAGGGAGGAGAGAACGTCGAGATCGGCGCGCGGCTCATCTGCGCGGCTAGAAGGGAGCAAGTTCTGGGAGGACGACAGGTAGCTCGCGTAGCGTCGTGCGCAACGTGTTGACCTCGATGTCGTCGACAGGATAGCACTCGTCACCGTACCTTGTGAGCCGTCGATCCCAATCAGTGGCCAGATCGCGACCCCACCGGTACAAGGTGCTTTTGATGGCGGCTTGCCGCGCCGGATCGAAGGCGGTGATGTCGCCGCTGAAGACTACCACGGTAGACACGTGGCTGATTCCCGGGGCCGCTCGCTGTTGGAACGTCGTTGCCTTGGCCAGCACCACTACCTGGGGATTGCTCGTGAATCGGAACTCTGCCGCGCCGTATACACCCGCAGTGCAGAAGAACTGCGCAAGGCGCATGAAGTCGGGGCTGATCCGCGGATGATGCACTTGGCGGATGGCTGAGATCTCTCCCGGTGGCATCAGCAACTGATCACTGAAAGCTCGTTCAATGGCGAAACTCGTGGCGATGGCGGGGGTGACGGGGTGGCAGAGAGGGAGCAAGAAAGGGAGGGGGATGGCGGAGAGTCCGAGCCGTCATCGTCGGCTTCCTTAGAAAGAGAAATCGAGGGAGAGGGAGACGGAGCAGAGGGAAGGAGGCGAAGATAGAACACGTGGCGTGTGATCGGACGAGCCGACCGACTGCCGGAGACTTCAGGGGCGAGATGCACGATGTCCACGCCGTTGGGGCCGAGTTCGATTACGCGATATCGCCTGAAGAATCGTGGCGCTAGCTTACCCTGACGAGCACATTTCCTCACCTGCACCATGTCCCCCAATTTGTATTGGGGCCGCGGACCCGCATTCCCATTTCGGGCCTCGTAGCTCCGGACCTGTCGGCCCTGGGCTAGTTCGGTCATTTTCTGTCGCTTTCGGGCTAGCCTGGGCAGCGACCTTTCCATTAACTCTAGGTGTCGCTTAGCCTTATCCCGAACCGTAGCCCTAGTGGGCCGTCGGTTCAACGTAGACTCATCTGGGAGGCCTGGTATCGACACGCAAGCAACACTTTTGGTCCTTAATTGGAAGGGGCTCAGTCCCGTTGATTCGTGGGGCGTTCCGCGATGGACCGCCAAGATGTGATCGATGATGTCGGGCCAGGGTCTCGGATCCCGTGCCGCGATGTTTCGTCGCAACGCGGTCTTTATCACCCGGTTAGCGTTTTCGACCAGCCCGTTAGATTGTGACATGTGGGGTGCAGTGTTCCGTATAGCAACGCCATGTAGGACCAGATTCCTCAATACCTCTCCCCTGAATTCAGGCCCGTTGTCGGTCAGGATCTCTTCGGTATCCTGATGCATCCCGAGGAAACGGTTGACATACCGCGCGATTTCCGTGGCTTGTCGCGTGCGTCAAGGATACGCCTCGATGCATTTTGAGAAATGGTCGACAAATACCAATAGGACTGAATATTCGCAACTATTAGGGCCARGGGGCACCACTATGTCGGTAGTATCCATGCTTACTCTTTGAAATGGCCGTTCAACAACCGTGGGCACTATCGACCTGGGTGGCTGAATCGGCGCTTTATCAGCGGCGCAAACTTGACAGTTGGCGACGATGTACTTCACATCATCGCGGATATTGGACCAGTACCACTCATTTTTGTCGATAGCGGACTCCGTGATTCGTACAGCAAAATGAGCCGCAGTTTCCTCGTGGGCTGTTTTAACCCAGTCATACCGCATGAACGGATGCGGCACTACCATCCAAATCCCACTGCCATCTGTTTTTCGTTTTTCTAATCTCCCCTCTATCCACCTGTAATCCTGAACCCTTTCGTTGGCCCTCCTCCGATCTTCCTTAGTGAAATCCTGGAGCGGGTTGCCAACCAAGGTGGCAATCAAGGTAATATCCTATGTAAAAAATCCGGATATCCGGCAGGCGATTTTATCCGGAATCTTCGATCCGGATGAAAATTCCCGATTAATTCCGGATATGGAAAAATCCGGCCCTGCGCAAAACATTTTTTTTTACCGAAAAAAAAATAATTCAAAAAATTCTGGAAAAAAAGTATGTTGTTCGCATCAACGATACGAACAACTTTTGGCTTGAGGTCATTGTTGATATCTCAACAGATAAAAAAATAAAAATATAAAACAGAAAAAGAAAATAATATTTGGATAAAAAATTATAAAACGAATCAAGCATCACCCCTCTAAACCCCTTCATTCCCTATCTTACCCCCTTTCAACCCTTCCATGACTTATCAAGCTTTTTATGAAATTGGAACATAGTTCTATTGTATTTTTCATGCGCAATATTACTTTTTTTTTTTCTTTTTTTTTTTCTTTTTTTTGGCCATTTTTTTAATCATCCGAATTTTTGGATAATCCTAGCCTCCGGTAATCCGGCCAGATAATCCGACCAGATTATCTGGCCAGGTATGCCGTGCTACATAGGTAATATCAGTCCATACTTCGGCCCTTCTAAACTTCCGGGTCTTTTCCTGCCCTTCTGACGTGGCGTCCAAAAAGCGAGCCTCGGTCGGAATCTTGTTGGTCCGGTACAAGGGGCACAACCACGATTTACTATCGTTTCTGTATTGGATGCACGAGCCATGGGCTCGTGCGACGCACTGTCGACAATCTATCCAATCGACATACCCTTCCCCGTTAGGACACGTAGAGACCGAGTATACGCGGGAGATGGCTTCGCAAAAATGACAAAATTTGTCAGGCAGGGAGAGGAGAGACGAAGAGGAAGGGGGGGAGAGAGGGGTAGTGGGGTTACCTCCGTCACCCATCGCCACCGTTTTGCTTCTTGCCACGTGGGAGGACTGCCACTTGTCCGTACTTAGGCTCGTTGGTCAGGTCCGGCTCCTTCCACGGTGTAATTTCCTCACTCTTTGGTACCTTGGCAGGTCGATGCAGGCGTGTCAGCCTATCCGCGTTGCCGTGTCGCTCCGTCTTTCGATGGACGATATCGAAGTCGTATTCTTGCAATCGCACCGCCCAACGGCCAAGCATGCTCGTGTAGTTGGTGAGCTTCTTCAAAGCTAGCAGAGGCTCATGATCCGTCACGAGGCGAAACTTCTGTCCGTAGAGTAACTGTATCTTTCTTCTTGCACTTCGTCTTTCCCGCCCTCCCTCTCTTTCCTTTGCTGAAATTATGAAAGTCGCGGCTTGCATGATCGGATCGATGCGTGGAGAAGGGTTACGTCCCCCACGCCGAGGCCGATCATGCAGAACGTAGGCGCTCCCTCTCTAATCCCCACTCTAAGTCCTAGTAATTCCGTGTTCTTCGCGCATGCATGCACGCTATAAATTTCGGCTGCGCGATTAGTCAGCTCTCTTAACCCGTTGTTGGAAGCTCGGGGTTGCGCGATCAGGAAGGGTCGGCACACGAGCTAAGTAAGAGGTGAGTAGAGTCGGAGTTGGGCGACCCGACGGGCTGGTGCCGAACGCGCGGGATTGACGTGGGCCACGACGGACTGTGGGCACAGGCGAATCCGACGGGTGCGGGAGGACTAGACGGGGTGACAACTTCGTGAGTTGGTGCGTGACGACGGACTGTTTGCATCGGAGAGAGAGAGAGAGGAGAAGAGAGTTGAGGTTGATGGACGTGGATTTGTTGTTTCTTTGTCTCTTCTCCCTCTTCATCTGTGTACATACATTTTGATTGCGGCTCCGGGCGGTTTGCCCGTTCTTATCTTCGTTTCGGCTTTCTGGAATCTGGACTTGGGTTTTTGCTCACACCTGCTCTTGCGATTGCATTATGTGTATGATTGTCGAATGTATGGATGCATAAATGTCATACCTGCTTGCCTATCTTTTTTGCGGAGAATCCCTGCCCTTGCTTTTTGTTTGTGCCGAATCTTTGCTTGCACCGGATGCAGCGATAGATGGGATAAGAATCTGGCCCCGATGTCGATTTCGTTCTCATTTTCGCTTATCCCATGATGAGGTTGTGGTATGATTGCATCTTGCATAACCGAGACTTACGAAGCAATTAGGTGATTCGAAGTCCGGCCCCGCGAGCGCCGCACGAGAACACGTGTAAACGCGATCCGAGTCGCGCCCTTACACGCATTACTATGCGTCGACTCGCTCACCCCGAAAGGAATCACGGCGGAACCATCATCTCGTACGAGCACGCTGAGGCGCCACTGAGTCGGCCTGTCCTACACGTGCTCGTGCGAGGTGATGATATCCCGACCCGCGCTACCCCATCGACAATGATACCATGACGCGATCTTGGGGCTCAGACTCGTCCTATGACCCGGACTATTTCACCCCTATAATAAATGAGCTCATAAGGACCTGATACCCTTGTCACACGGAGAATCGGCTATGTCCGCGGGAATTTCACTGTGCCACCACTAGCGACCCTCGGTGCTCCGATTTCCCTTCCCCCGACACACCTACTACTTCACCCACCCGGGATTCATTGAGATCACCACCAGTTTCCCTCCTTTCCGCCTCCTTCTCCCGTATCATCAACTCACTGTCGTTCTGTGGCCGGCCATAGCCCCCTATTGGCCCAACACGTTTTGCGTAAACTGCCGACGCAGCGGCGCACAAAGAACCCCGAAATTCCGAAGGCCCAACCCATCTACGTGGCGGTCGGCGCCAGGTGGCGGCCCCCGACGGCCTAGCTTTTCATGACCATCTCCACCACGGAGGAATTTTCCCGTAACCCGTCGCCCGCAGTGTCCCGGCCCCTTCGGACTGTGCGACCCTTGCGCGCGTACCCCTCGTTCGCCTAATTGCATTCATACCCCTAAGACTCCCCCACTTCCCCAAAAATCCTTGGCACACCCCTTTTCGCACTTCCAGGCCCACACTCCACTCCGATCAGGAAGTCGCGCTGGGCGTGAGGTTGGTATCGGAGCCCGACACGTGGCTAGAGTCTTAGGATTGATAGCACGTTAATTAGGCGATCTCGCCCTCGGAACGCGCATAGACGCGACCCTATCGTCACCGGAAGCAGATCGGTTAACCGACGAGCAGCCAATATGGCTGCCAATGTGCAAAATCCGGTTCCGCAACAAAATGTTAATCTACCTAATCAACCTGCCCCACGTGCACGAGCTCCCATGACGCCACCTGATCTCCATTTGTTCGATCCCACACACCATCTCGCAGGAGCATGGCTGGCCACACTTAGAGCCCAACAGTATACCGACAACGAAGCACAGATCAACATTCCGGCTCGAATGGGTGGAGACGCCCATCATTGGTTTAGTACCTATGTATGGGTGGATCTCCCGACCTTCGAACGGGACTTTATGAACCGATTCAATTATGTCCACCCTGAGCAAGCGCTGTACATGATCAAGGATCGAGTGCAAAAACCGCTCGAATCTGTTGCGGAATATCGAAACCGGTTCTACAGAATGTAAAAAAAAAAACTGAGCGAGGTGAGCAAGTCGGAAGAGATTTGTTCATTGACGGACTCCGCAGTCGAATGATAAGGGCAAAGTTGCGAAAGCAATTTTCCCCCATCACTCATACGCTACAACAAATTATGGCTGCTGCGGAAGAAATGGAACGGGAGTTCGCGACGAACTTCCTGGAAGGAGAAGATTACCCTAGAGACGGAGATTCGACCGAGCTCGCTCGAGCCAGAGCAGAGTTGGCTGCTTTACAGAACAAATTTGAAAACATGGGGTT